AAGTTAACCAAGTTTCTGTTAGACATATTACATCATAGAATCCGAGTTCAGTTCTTAAAATATCTAATTTCTCTTTAAGACTACGGACATTTAAATGGACAAACTTTAAATCTGTTAGGCATTTAGGTCTTGGAGGGATGAATATCTCCATAACACAATATCAATGACGAAAACATTAATGAAACATGTTCGATGCCAAGATGCATCAAGAAAGCCATCCATATAGCTGCTGTGGGATAGTGGTTTGGCTCGCTCACTTGAAACAAGTCATTGTATTCCAATTGCGTAGATCGATGATCATGCTTATCACTGGATTGTCCGATTCAGACTCGATTTGTTACAGATCGCCGTAATATACTAAGCAGCAAAAGAAACGTCAGTTTGGAATTTTCTTCACAGAGACGGATAACTGTAAACTCATTTAATGTTTGGATTGTATATTTTTGACAACATCTCCAACTTTACCTGAGCAAAGACTTTCCTTCCCAAACTCTGAATTGAACCCAGAAAATGGTCTCAAAAACGCAACCTGATCTCGGAGATGGTACGGTGTTCTCCATGTTTTTCATGCAACTCATGGTGCACGTACTGTTCACAAGGACCAGCCCTATAAAATGCACCCCCAAAACTTGTTGAAACATTCACATTACAACGTCAGCAGGATGCCGCGACTCATGACAGCTCAGAGGAACCAGGCGCTAGGAAGACTTGAAGCTTGCCACACTGCACAGGCCGTTCACTTCCAGGTCAACGTTTGGACCATCTACAGGCGGCAGCAACGTGTCCGGGCCACCAACACCACAAATGATGGCCCCCATACTGACAGACCAAGGGTGACCACAAGACGACAAGACCACCATGTTGTGCGACAGCATGTACAGAATCCCTTCATGCAGGCATCCGAAACAGCACGCCAGACAGGAGGAACACACGGAAGACCAATCAGTACTGATACAGTACGCCGATTTCTAAACAGCGGGAACATCCATTACCTTACCGTGGACCTATCCTCACCCCTCGTCATCGGCGTGAACGTCTACAGTATGCCCTACAACACCAAAAAAGGCGATACAGGCAATGGAGAACTGTTCTGTTCACAGATGAGAGTCGGTACTGCGTATCAACAGCAGACGGCAGAACAAGAATATGGCGACGACGTGGCCAGCGTTACTCAGACCAATGTGTTATGGAAAGAAACTCATGGGGAGGTGCAAGCATCATGGTATGGGGTGGAATAGGCCTGAACCAGAGAGTGGGTCCTGTGGTGTTCCAGAACCTTGTTCCAGGGAGAGGAGGTGGCATCACAGCGGTGCGCTACATCGACCAAGTTCTCAGACCCCACGTCATACCACATTTCGCACGTCAAACACAGCCGATTTATTGCGCCAGGCCTTTCTCAGAGTGTGGTTCCAGGTACCAATGGCCTTCATCAATCGATTGGTGCACTCTATACATAGACGCTGTGCTGCAGTTATTGCCACTCGTGGTGGTCACACTAGATAATGAAGTCAAGAGTCTGAATGGACTGGACTTATTCATTGATGTGTCACAAAAAACATATTTTTGATCCGCATATTATTTTAATTTCTGTACTGATTTGATTACAGTGGCTATGTAATTTTGAATTCTTCACAGCAAAAATAACATGGTTTCCAGTTTTCCGGAAACCTACCTGAAACTGGGTAATGTCAGAATCATGTTGGTTTCCGCTCACGGAAACTATGATTGTTGGTTTCCGGCTGTTTCCTTTTGCTGAAACTAACAAGGTTACATCTGGGTGACAGACTACCAGCATCCCAACATGGCGGCAGGTAAGATCGCTTGGCGATTATTCCCCTCGAATTAGCAGCCTTCCACGTGTATACAATCAACATTATACAAGGTTAGTTTCAGTGACTGGAAACTGCCGGAAACCAACAAGGTTAGTTTCAGCGACTGGAAACTGCCGGAAACCAACAAAGTTAGTTTCCAGAAATGGAAACTTACAGTAAAGTATCAATGGTAGTTTCCATTCATAAAGCAACTGGAAACCATCATTGATGGGAACTTGAATGAAATGAACGTAGAGGAAATTACTTTGACTCCATATATACGAGTATATATAGCATATATCCAGAAACCTACATTAACCTACGTTAAACTGTCTGTGTATTACATGTATATAGGTTTCAGTTTAGTGATCTCAGTGTTTCTGTACACCAGAATTGAAATGAAAGATATTGTCACATGAAACAAGATTAATTTCAGGAAAAATTAAACCTAATTGAAAGAATATGGAAACTTCAGATTCTACTTTGTCTCCTTTACGTTTTGTTAGGTAAACTTACAGATACCTGTAACTTATAACTGGAATATTGCTGATTGCGGCTTTACACAACATACAAAAAACAAAACAAATATAAAACCCAAGCATATCTGGTATCTGTGAAGTACGCCATTACTTCATTTTCTCGACTTATTAAATTGTCAAATAGCGACTTCACCATGTGCCCGTCACCTGTTGTGAGATATTCGTTGATATGATGCATGTACTATCGCCAAATGATTCCCGCATCCAGTAAATCACCATCCAGTAACCATTTGTGGTTTGTTTGTTTTTTTGCTTCTATGAAACAGGCGCATATCTTCTTTTCCATGTTTCTTTGCTGATAATATCAAGTATTCCTGACAAGTTTATGTCCGATTTTAGACCTAAACATCAACCTAGAATGCACTATAATTGAGTTAAACATATTTAAAGTCACTTTATTGTAATCTTAAAAACGTTTTGTCAATTGAATGACAACTGGATTACCTTGTTACATGTAAGGTCAAATCAATAAACCTTCCAACTACAGATTATGATAAAACATCGTTCACTTACTTTTAATTGACCAGGCTTGGCAGAATCACACCACTTACCCTCATTTAAGATGCCAATCAAACGTTTAGGAGAATCACACCACTTACCTGGATCGCAATTGAAAAAGTTTATCAGACTGCAGCTTTTTTAAAAGCCCTGAGTTTTATAGGCCCAGTGCGAAAATAATATCTGGTTGCTACAACTAATGTTGACATAACACTGTACATCAGAGACGGAGTCTTTTAGTTCCTGTTTATGAGTTCGCTCTATACACATGGCTTGTTGATAATAACTGATTGTTAAAAGCTTGCATTGACTTTCGGCTGATATCTTTCAAATCATGAAAACACTGAACGTGCTCAGGTAAATAAAATGTACCGAGTATAGATTCCAACAGAATGAAAGCAAGTAGACCTAATGGGATAACTAGCAATTGTCTGAGGTCTGTAAGAATTGAACTCTTAATGGTAATAACACGAGTTTACGGTATCATACTACCACTTAAACATGTGATGCTTAGCAGGTTTATAAATGTTCATTCTACACAAATATCGTGGCATAAATTGTTCAGTATGTGAAACGACATGTCATCTTTAGTTCTTGTCATGACCCTATTGTTATTTGACACATGTCGCCCTTCATTGGTCGTATTCTACACAATGAAAGCATTCAGGGATAGAACAAACAACTGAAGACATTTTTGGTGTTGTTACCAATACTGCATGAGTTTACATCAGATTTAATCAAATGAATGAGATGCCAGAAAAAGCCCCGATCGTTGATATTTCTCCGTACGTCAACCACCGGGAACCTGGTGGAACCCCAAAAGGGGGAGTTTAGGGACTATGTCATCTTTCATTTTCATCGTCTCTACTATTACAATGTTTTTTACGTTTCATTTTGTACAGTGCACCCTGGTTTTAATGCCCCTGGCTGTAATGCCCCTGGTTTTAATGCCCCTGGCTGTAATGCCACCCTGGATATAAAGCCATGATTTTGCCAGAACGGATTTCCTGCCTATATAATACCCTGGTTATAATACCAAACTGGATCTGATGCCATATGCCGATGGTTTTTGGAGCAAAAAGTCATGTTCCCCTGGTTATAATACCAATTGCACTGGCTGCATGTAGTATACATACCTTAATTGGTTAATTGACATGGCTCAAATTAATTGACCAGACTCATTAATGCTTTAAGTCATGTAATCCCATGTAGGATAACACACGTGACAATACACTTCCTGCCACCTACAACAACAAGTCACCTGCAGCCCCTAGACGTTGGAATTGTCCAGTCATTCAAGGCTCATCACAGGAGACATCAGCTCAATCACCTTGTTGATTATATAGGGCCGCTAACTGTCCTACCTGGTTATAATGCCACCGTGGATATAATGACATATTTTCTCCTAGACAAACGGTGGCATTATAACCAGGGTATACTGTACTACAGTATTTACATCTGCAATATTGAGTTTCACTTGTCACAAAATATGTGCAACCGACTACATGTATGACGGCCAATGACAAGCCGGCATGTGCGATCAGCAGTGTAACCGAGGCCTAATATGGAGGCATTACGTTTGAAATCTTTGCCTCTGTTGTGTGTTCGTTTCAAATTGATAGACATGATTAGTGTGTCACCTACTCTTATACAGACGCCTCTTTGAGTGTTTTGAATATGATATTTGCTTGAATGATGTTGCGATCTATCAAATTCTACGTAGCTGTACCAACCCATGAGAACTGCACTTCAACCTAATCCCAATTCGTTGTGTCGAAGACAGATTTATTTCAGCGAAACTTGATTTGTGGGGTCCCTTATAATACTCTTTGAGTCGTCTTAAAGGCAAAGCTTTCATTTTGGACCTATTCCGGTAATAGGTCAACTTGGTGTTCTATAGAATTAGTGTCCCTTTTCAACAACGGAATAAAAGATAAGTACAGACTTATTTTCAAATGTCGTTGCAGTAATAAAGTATATATATTGAGTTATCAATCCTTTTTTGTTATTTAGTATATTCTTGTATGGCCTTTCCCAACTATGCTCTGAAAGAAATATGAGAATGAGAGGAGTCCATGGCATAATGAATGTATAGTATTTCAAAATGTATAAAAATATTATTTTGAAACATCAGCCCAAATGAGCGTGATACATTAACCGTTCAATAGCTCGCTAAATAGACATCAGGTATGTGCACTTCACCGGAGTGTTTCATTGTGTGCCCCTAAGTCAGGGGACTGTGGTACAATTTTGGTCTGCGATTCAGTTGCTAGTATTTAGCATGACTTACCTTTATTTAGCAAGACCTAACAGCATACCTTTATGGTTGATGTGAATTGTACTCTATTATTTGGAGCTCATAGCGTTGTTTGCAGCTACATTTCTATGTTTATTTCCTCTTGTGTCATGTAGAGCTGAATACACTTGTGTATGTCAAAGGCTGGCACATCTCCCGAAGGAACTGTTCGTGAGTGCCGTTCAGTGTCGATGGTAGTAACGGTAAGGAAAACAAATTTCGTTTACTTATTGGAAACATTTTACAAGGTAAAAGGGACTATGTGTTTTCCTCTACGAAACAGCATCTACACCACAGAGACGTTGAGTATCTAACTTATCACAACACATGTTCATTTTTCAGAAATCAGACAATGCTGATTGGAACAGATACGCTCCTATTTGGAACACTGACTTTCAACATTATAGCGTCGGCGACTATGATGTGTACAGATCCCAGCAAATTTCCTTTTGTAAAATACAATTTGAGGCTACCAGGTTTCAGCTACGTTTCCATGTCAACAGAGGGACTTTTCAAATGTGTTGCGACTTGTCTGAAGAGAAAGTGGTGCAGATCCTTCAATTATGACCTCACACGTGGAGACTGTGAATTAAATTTCGCCTCATTATCACTCGGTAGTATCAACGGCACTTATCTGGAGCCAGCGAGTGGGTTTATCTTCTCGGACATCACACACTGGCCACAGGTACATGTATCCTTTCTCATCCTATGTTACTCAACCTATGTTCAAGACTAAAACTGGTGACTTGGCTATTGTATGCTCATATCATCAACCACTAGTTTGTCCAACTCAGTGTCGATATTATAAACCACATAAATACAGTGGTGGCGACGTAAACAGTATAACAACATTTCGGATAGTTTGTTGAAACATTAAGATAACAGAATAATACCTCAGCATGTTTACAATTATTACATTAATATGTCTATTGTTTATGACTACAGTACAATCTTAACAAAATCATGTTTAAGTATAGATACGTGATAATATCAATGACATGTCGGTGTGTCTTTCTACAATTCTATATACCTGCATCTGACACCCGACCGTGGCTCAGAAAATCAGTGTGACATTACATTTGGTGAAAATTGATTTGGCGCAACTCAAGTTCTTATACATACAAGCAATCTTCCATGCATAAAAACCGACTCCCCCAGGACGAAACAATTCAGTTAGAAACGACTATACCCTTTCCACATCCAAAGCAACCCATATCTGACAACACTGTAGGGACTTTTAGACACGTAAGGAAAACCATATTTGCCTACATTATAGGAACGTTTCGACATCACACATCGTACGTAAGGAATGAGCTCTTATTTCCAAACCATTACATGTCATAGGGGTGACACAAGGTTCCAAACATCTTAAATTATCCCGTGTCTTTTTTCCAGAGAATGGCTGGCGCGTGTGCGAATCACAACTGTACAACAGAAAGCGAATGCGAAGAGATCGACAAAAGTCATTTCAGGTGTATCGAATATGGTAATAGTATTTCTAAGCACAATTCAAAAAGGGCTTCAGTGTCCGAATCGACTGGATTCACTGTCACACTCTTAATGTGTGCCAGAAATGCATGATCATTGGTCCGATTTGTATTTTACAGGCCTACCAAAAGAAAATATGAAACTGCAACATTTTTATATCAGCGAACTTTGACCTCTACTGCGCATGCGCATTACGATCCATGCTTCTTTCCAATTTCCGAGCAATTGTGAATCGCCTCGCTAAGAAAAAGTATTAAATATGTCGAAATAATTGCTGTCAGTCATTTAATACGAATGTAAAGTAAACTAAACAAGTGTGCACACAAGTACCATGGTGATAAATGCCAAATAACACAACAGAAATACTTAAAAAGGGAATGTTACTTTTGTCCAAGCTGGAAATTGTCAACATGCGATCGAGACTTCCTCTTCCATGTGCGCATGCGCAAAATCAAAGTTGCAGGCTCTTCTTTTTTTGATGCAGTTTTAGCGATTTAAAGTTGCCGTTTTTACTGTTTCAGTAGCGAGGTATGTTGCTATTTCCACGATTAATGTGGACTTTTCTGCGTTTTTGTGCACAGTGGGAAAGCTTTCTTTGGTAGGCCTGTTTTGGCCAATGTATTTCTATCTTTGAACTATACTGGACCAAAACAGAAACGTCACCTATCAAAACCAAATGCAAACTATTGTTCTTACAAAGAGGTGTTTCTATTATGATTTACCGTTTTGTTTACATGTTTTTCTGTCCAAATTGACAGTTATTACCAACATCAATGCGTTTTCTATTGAAAGAGCATATCGAACAAAGGCACCTAAAAAGACAGACGCGGTTAAAGGTTCCGTATGGTATTCGTGAAAATGAATATGCACGTGCATATAGTGACAGCCCTATCAATGAAAGCGAGACCAAACTCGCCTGAAATCATTCTTGTTTTGACACAATCACCATGGCACGACTTACTAGAGATCGGAGGAACCAAGCCTTGGGGCGATGGCAGAGTGAGAGTATGTCGAAGGCATGGGGAACGGTTTTCTAATGAGTGTATTGTTGAAAGTGACTCGTGGGGTGGTCCAAGCATCATGGTGCATGGTGTGGAGTGCAATCGGTCTAAACCAGAGAGTTGGCCTCGTGGTGTTCCAGAATCTCCGTCCAGGACGTGGAAATGGCGTGACAGTTGCTCGCTATATTGACCAAGTCATAAGATCCAACGTTGTACCATATTTTGGACGTCACTGAAATCACATCTTCCAGCAAAACAACGCTCGTGCCCAGACTGCCAACATGGCATCCAAAGCCTACAATGGCCTGCACTCAGTCCGGATTTAAGTCCAATAGAACACCTTTGGGACGAGATTGAAAGAAGACTGAATGACCTCCAACAAAGGCCGACAACTGCGGCTGGACTCGATCAGGCATTTCGAGTATGGACCTTCATCAACGGGCTAATTCATTCCATGAACAGACGATGCCTCCAAGGAGGCGACACACGATACTGACTTTGAGGTATCCTAATGGTGTTTGAACTTTGAACTCAGTCCTCGGTTTGATTGTTAATTAGAGCGAATTACAGTGTGTGCTTTAAGAAACCTCTATCGGTGTGGCGTTTCTTTTGCGGTTCAGTATATATACTTGTGCTCAAGTGTTCCTCATATTGGTAAGACTTGTATAACGTCAGGCTTTCCTCCCACATCAAGTATGCGATATGATTTCGCTGAAATACCGGTTTTAAAACCATCTTCCATTAGGTACTCATTCACTTGTATTTAAAAAACGTGGTTTAAACGTCGTCTTGCGTAATTTAGCTGATTGTGTGTAGAAGCTTAATTAAGTTCAACTGAATTCATCTTTTCTGATTTCGATACATGGTGTCCTAAACACTACTCTCTCTTCCGCAAAGTATCATCGTGTGGAAAAGTAAAAGAATGTGACCCATCAAGCCCTGATGGCGAATACTGGCTTCGCCTGCCGAACTTTGGTCTGTACAGAACCCGGATCTACTGTCACAACATGAACACCAGCAACCCCGTGGAGTACCTGACTCTGCCCACTCCTAACTATGGAATATATCCGAAATTGTCGAATCCCATCTGCGCAGGTGAAATAGGTCTCAACGGTGTCTGTGTCGGAGAAGGAGGGGAGGTGTGGTACAACAGGATTAGAGTGAAAACAGAGGTGAGACTTTTGTGATGACGATTTCTAGGTCATTGGGTATTTACCGCCAGGCACAAGTGAGTCTGTTAGCCGGCATAAGTGTGTCAGTTTTAGAGTCTGTCATCCGGCACAAGTATGTCAATGTTACAGTGTGTTACCCGACACAGGCGTGTCAGTTTAAGAGTGTATATTAGCCAGAACAAGTGTATCAACTTAAGTGTCTGTTAGCCGACACAAGTATATTAGTACAAATTCACTGTCAACTAGCCATCACTAGTATGATAGACGGCAATAGTATGTCTCTTTCACTGTCAGCTAACTCGCACCAGTATGGCCATTTTAGTGTCAGCTAGCCGGAACTAGCATAGCCATTATAGTGTCAGCTAGCCGGAACTAGTATAGCCATTTTAGTGTCAGCTAGCCGGAACAAGTATGCCAATTGTACTGTCTGCTAGTCGGAACTAGTATGCCCATTTTACTGTCTGCTAGTCGGAACTGGTATGCCAATTTTACTGTCTGCTAGCCGAAACTAGTATAGCAATTTAAGTGTCAGCTAGCCGGAACAAGTATGCCAATTTTACTGTCTGCTAGTCGGAACTAGTATGCCCATTTTACTGTCTGCTAGTCGGAACTAGTATGCCAATTTTACTGTCTGCTAGCCGGAACAAGTATGCCAATTGTACTGTCTGCTAGTCGGAACTAGTATGCCCATTTTACTGTCTGCTAGTCGGAACAAGTATGCCATTGTACAGTCTGCTAGTCGGAACTAGTATGCCTACTTTACAGTCTGCTAGTAGGAACTAGTATGCCAATTGTACTGTCAGCTAGTCGGAACTAGTATGACCATTTTCTGTCAGATTGCCGGTCCAAGTATGTCTGTTTTGCTGTCAGCTAGCCGGCAATAGTATATATGTTTTCTTGTCTGCTAACCATTCGAAATATGTACATTTTACTGTCTGCATGCCGACCCAAATGTCTGTTTTAACTATTTGTTAGCCTGTCCCTTTATGTCTGTTTTAGTGTCTGCTAGTGTTCTTTTTATTGTATGCTAACCAGCCCCAGTATGTTTGCTTTACTGTCTGCTTGGCGGCACAGGTTCCTGCTCCCGAGGTGGGCAGCACAAGTATCTGCTTCCGCTTTTGCAAGCACACTGGCCCAGATGTGTAATGATGAATTTGTCATATGTGTCTGTGGGATGTAGACAAGGCGGTTAAGCGCCAGAAGTTCAAGACTTCGAAGTTTACTATCTTGGTACCAGCCTGAAGCCAGTTTACGTTAACACATGTGGTTGTGTTTTTTTGTAAATACTTGTTTCTGACATGTGAACACAAGAAACACACACACAAAAACGGTTCGAATGTCATGCTAGTTTAGATATTTAGAATGATCGACCCACTATTTATTTCAAACATTCTGTAAGATTCGTTGGCATTTGCACACAACACAATCTTTCAGAAATATCAATAACGTTTTCGTGGTGTTTTTTTTATTACAGCACATGGAGGTTGACATAAAAGATATAACTTTTGCAAACTTCACCAACTACAAGGTAAACTATGCTGTGGCCATGGACTGCTATTCACGTCATGAGAATGGCGTAGTCAGCTCGTGTGGAACCAGGGGCGAATTTACCGTGAATCTCACAGGGACAGGATGGGCAGTAAGAGCTGACGTAAGCACTCGCATATTGATTTTCCAAATATGCTCCTTCAACAAGATATGCATGATCGATAGACATGAAATATATTACCTCATAATGATGCAGGAAGCATGTAAATTAGTGTCTCTGTTTTGGAATCTGAAATAATGCTCGAGCGGCTCGCTGTTCTCCATCAATCAATGATACTAAATATATATGGCAAAACCCGATAAACCAAATGCTGGAAAGGGCATGTGAATCATAGAGGTCAATAAAATACCAATCCTCCCAAACATTTACCAGATGTACCACCTTTGGGAATTCCGGGACAGAAAAGCGTCACGTCACCCGATCCATCCCATCATGCAACGTCATACCCTGACTTGTTTCATTGCATATCGTCTTATCCACAGCAATCATGGACAGCTGTTGGGTATAAACCTGCAATAGAATCAATTGTTTGGAGTGAGACTGGTTCCGTCGTTCATTTGAAGTGTGGTGGACGGCGCGGATATTGTCGTCCCAAAGACTCCTTAACCCTGACAGCTCTCCAGACCGAAGGTAAGCAAGCAACGGGTTGATCCCATCTGGACCCAAGAAAGGGTACATGTACATGTATTAAAAATGAACATCTTGTATAAAATGCTGCAAATATGTGGTTGATAAGATGTCCCTGTTGTAAGCAACATGAAGTTAGAAACGGATTCGGGATTGGGGATGGGGATTCGAATCCCGAATCTGAATATTTTTTTCACATTCGGGATTCGAATCCCGAATCTGAATTTTTTTCAGATTCTGGACTCGAATCCCAAATCTGAATATTTTTTCCATATTCGGGATTCGAATCCCGAATCTGAATCTTTTTCAGATTCGGTATTTTTGCAGATTCGACACTCGGCATTCGGTATTTGAACTCTTATATTTCATCCCCCTTTTTATGTACTAGGTGCTCGTTGTATACCTGAGTAACTTTTAAACATAAACAACCAAACTACAGTTTCCGATATTTGAACCTCAAATCTGAGTTTTCTCAACATTCGTGTTTCGGGATTTGAATCCCGAATCTGATTTTTTTGCAGATTCGGTATTTTTGCAGATTCGACACTCGGCATTCGGTATTTGAACTCTTATATTTCATCCCCCTTTTAATGTACTAGGTGCTCGTTGTATACCTGGGTAACTTTTAAACATAAACAACCAAACTACAGTTTCCGATATTTGAACCTCAAATCTGAGTTTTCTCAACATTCGTGTTTCGGGATTTGAATCCCAAATCTGAATATATTTTTCAGATTCAGGATTCGAATCCCGAATCTGAATATTTTTCAGATTCGGTACTTTTGCACATTCCACACTCGGAATTCGGCCTTCGTATTTGGTATTTGAACTCTTATTATGCATTTCATTAACACATTTGGTGAGCGAGTGAGTGAGTTTAGTTTTACACCGCACTCAGCATTATGCCAGCTGTAAGGCCGCGGTCTGTAAATAATCGAGTCTGGACCAGACAATCCAGTGATCAACAGCATGAGCATCGATCTTCGCAATGGGGAACCGATAACATGTGTCAACCAAGCCAGCAAGCCTAACAAGCATGGGTTACTGAAGGCCAATTCTAACCCGGACCTTCACGGGTATTAACATATTTGGAATTCGGATCTTGTAACTATACTCTTTGCCACTTCATCTGTCAAACCTTTCTGTCCTCGACGCTGCCGTGCACCCTCGTAGATAGTCGAACGGTCCAGAAGCTCTTCCCTGCTTGTATGGGTGTATGCATGAGCTCTCGTTGAAAATCGAAGAAAGACCATCAAAGTCAATAATTGAAACACACCTTTATTGAGGGCAAAAATGCATGAATAGCTTTCTGAGATCAAAGGGGAATTAAGCAAGCAGGAAATCTTTTTGTTTGTTTTGTAATTCTGGTAATTGTATTAAACATTCCTCCTTACTGATTATGGAGTGTGATTGTAAGACGTTTATCCATTCTACAAGGCTATGGGCTTTGCTGATGAGCAAATTTGAGATTGACTAATTTTAGAACTGAGCTCATTTAGAAACAGTATATAACAACACCCGCCCCTCAGAAAGGTACGTATCCAAAATGGAGTCTGAGAGAGAGTTTCAGACGTCACCTGTATGGATTGTACAACACCAACAAGCGAGTATTGATTCCAATATTTATCTTGTTCGTCTTTGCTCGGTCAAGATCGAGGGTTGACGCCTGCAAGCAATGAAAGGTGGTTGTTTTAAGGTAGTCGTCCAGAAAGCCCTTTATGACTTGAGAAAACAAACGTAAAGTTTCATGAATAAAAAATGTATAGCATACTGTCATGAATAGATAGACAGTCTAGTTCAAAAGGTAGTCATGTCACCCTGCATTGACCATGATGCTGAATGAAGCCGGAACTAGTGTAAACCATTTGTAAACAAGGCGCTGAATTATTCAGTCCTGTCCCGACTTGGATAGTTGAACCCGATGTTTAAATGGTATTTCATGCTAGTTTTTCCCTTTAAATATAACGTGATGAAAAGTTTAACTTTAACCGTCTGAACTAAAGTATGTATACAGTTTTAGTTCAGAGCGTGATATTTAACGGTTCGAAATACACATGGATACAAACAAATCAATGTCATTTAGAAAACTGATTATTACATGTATAAGTGAAAGTCACCATGAAAGTCATCGTCATTTGGAGAGTGACAGCAGCTATCTATAAGAAATGTTAAAAGCGAGCAACGTGTTTCATGTTTACAATAGTCTCCTCATCCTCTTAACCCAGCCTGCCGCCCACATGTGTCCTTAGAAATAAGCAAGTCATGATCAGCTTGTGA